TCTGGCGCTCGAACGGCTTTCCCATGTTGCATCTTTTAAAATAATGTTTAAAGGGGCAGGGAGTGAAGAGCTTTGTGGGCACCTTTGGACGTACCCACAGATGCTGCAATGAGGACCTTCTTGAGCTACAGCAAACCTACATGCAGTGCTGTGTGTGTGTGCTATAATGCCACAGGAGTGCAAAACACTCATAGAACATGATAAGGTAAAGGTAAAGGTTTCCCCTTGACGTGAAGTCCAGTCATGCCTGACTCTCGGGGGCGGTGCTCATCTCCGTTTCCTAGACGAGGGAGCCAGCCTTTGTCCACAGACAGTCTCCGTGGTCATGTGGCTGGCATGACTAAACACCGAGGTGCGTGGAACACTGTTAACTGCCCACCAAAGTGGTACTTTTTTATCTACTTGCATTTGCTTGCTTTCGAACTGCAAGGTTGGCAGGAGCTGGGACGGAGCAACGGGAACTCACCCCGTTGTGCAGATTCGAACCAGTGACCTTTCAATCAACCAGCCCAGCAGCACAGCAGTTTAAACCACTGCGAACTTCCAGAGAACCTGAGTTTTCATCTACAAGAAGCAGTTGCTCTCCACCCGCTTTCCTAACTAGCAAAACCAGGGTAGATTATGCAAGATGGAAAAGTGTTAGAGCTGGAAGGAATGGCATAAGAAAAATAATGCAAATGTGCTCAGTTCGACCAGATTTATGCAGGTTGCAGAACTGAGCAGCTCTTGCTGCACAATCTCAATCTCTCTCAAAGAGGAAATACACTCCTGTTTATAAGCCAGAAGAAGTGATAGCATAAAGAACCCTGCTGCAATTATTTGTTTCAATGTGAGAACATATTCTTTGGATATTTTTACCCTGTCCAATGCCCAGTGGGTTTCTGGATGGCTTATAATTCAAAATTAGTTTGTGTAGATGAAGAACCTAACTCTATCCCAGTGAAACTGCCTCTGCACAGGGACAAAGGCAGAGGCACCATGGTTTGGAGGAATTTTGAAAAGCTGAAGTCTTTTGCCTAGCGATGACATACACTGTCAGCCTAAGTGATGAGGCTGCACTTGCAGGAAATAATGGGGAGTGGCCTCTGCTTTTATGGTTGTGACTGTACCTTCGGCTGCTGTAGATCTGACAAGGAAGAAGAATTGCAAGGAACACCATAACTCACATGAGGAATGGTGCAGTGCAGGATTCTTCCATCTCAATACCGCTCTAAGCCTCAGAAAGGTTCTGGAAAAGGTACCACACTAGTGTTCTGAGTGGATCCTGCAGTCTGATTGTGCATCCCAGTGGATCTGACAAGATCCTCTAATGAGCTGCGTGCACATTGCATGGGCTGGGTGGGACACCAGCACATAATTGTCACTGAAATTACTTATGGATTTATACCTGCATGGCTTGAACACTAACCCTTTGAATAGCACATGGGTCCTCCTTTTTGGTTTTTGCAGCCTGGGTTTATAGGAATCAATTCAAGGGATTATTTTAGCTCAGCTTAACAACCAGATTTTCATCAAGAGAATTAGCAAATCCCTATGCAGATAGGAGGTGTGTCCCACCCTGCAATGGGGGCAAAGCAACAGCAATCAGTGAAAGAAAACTCTTGCTTCATGGCCAGATTTCTGTACACTAAGAAGCTACATAAATATTATATTTTTATCATTTGGTTACTGTCTTAACTGCACAGTTTGACTTAATCTAGCTGCAAAGTCATGCAGTGGCCACAGCAAGCTATGTAGCATTTGCTGCTTAAGAATAAGTGCAGCCTACTTCCAACACAAAAGGAGTCAATGACAGTTGCTCAGTTTCCACAGCCTACTTTCTATTCTAATTACTTTCAGCCCAAAGAACATTTTGCTAATGGATGTAACTTGGTGAACAATTTGCATGTTTTCTTCTGTACCTCCTTCCACTTGGAAGCAGGGTTGGTAAAATCTCAGGTACCTAAAGGCTGGGGTGGGGGTATTTGTTTTTGCTTTCCTATTTCAAGATTTTCAGCAAGAGCTCCTAAAACGTTTTATTTTTGACATCTAAACAATTTGAAATATTTCTCTATCCCTGTCTAAAAGTTTACAATGTTGACACTGCTTCATGCCAACACTTGAGGCATAGTATTCCAATTGAAATTAACACATAGCCCAAAGTTACCTTACAGTTATTCATTTGGCTTACAGATACTCACAGCCGCTTAGCACATTTTTAGGTGTCACACATGCGGAACAAAGAACTTTCAGAAATTGCATCAGTGTTGTTTAGAATTTACTGTGTGAAAACTACACTTGTTCCTGAGTTTCAGTCAGCAGCAATACTTATGCTGATGCATCAATATTTAATCTAGTATTAATACAAACATTATAAAAAAGAAATTTGCTATTGAGTCTATATTGCCAACAATAGTCAATAGTCTGTTGCTACACAAATAACTGAGTTTTGTGGCATCTTAATGACTTACCAGTGGTCTATCAGTGCCTTTGCTTGGCCTTTAACAATTTTTCCGCTTCTATGACCATGACTATGCACATATCAAGGTAACCATTCACTTGGCTCTAGTGAAGTGGATCCCAATCCCACAGGTGGAGAACCACTTTTCCCCCCTCTCAGGGGCCATACTCCCTGAGGGGTCATGCCAGCATTGGGTGGGGTTAAAACCCAAAGTGGATGTGGCATCACTTTTCTCTCCTGCCATGCCCTGTTCTCTTGTCCTCTATTTCCCTCTTCTTCCCTGGCCAGCAGGCTCCAAAAACAGACTGTTTGCTCTTCACTCTCTGCATGAACTGATTACTCAATGGGATCTTCTGAAACTAGAATGAGGGTCACAGATTGTCAATTCCAACTCTAAAAGAATCAACCCTGCTTCTGCAACCAGAAGAGTTTGTTTCTTGGTTTCCTTCCCCAGTCCTCCAGATAAACTGGGTTATGACTCCCCTCATTTGCAGACAGCATGACTGATGATGGGAGTTGTAATTCAACACTTCTAAAAGGCACCAGATTGGGGAACCCTTGATTAATCAATAGTAACCAAGGGATCTGAGTTTAACAAAGCTGTTTTTAGGAATGTTATGAATCAAAAGAGGAGGAGAAACCCATGCCTACAATGCTACATAGGAAAATCGGGTTCATCTAGTAATTGAAGAAGTAATAGCCTAAGTTTTCCTTGAGAAGCTGGCAGGAGGACTACGGGAAATCAAAAAACTTTACTGAACTGCACCAGGGAAGGTGTTCTCCTTCCAACCTGAGATATAATCAGCAAATATTCAGCAGACAAAATTCCAGAGTGTTTTACAGTGCTTTTGCACCAGAGTCAATTTAGTGTCATACTACCTTATTAAATAGTACTAACTAAAGGTTATAACTTTTAACATTCAGAGAAAATTCAGCTTCAGACACAAAGGAGGCCTCTCCTGCAAATACAGCTAGGGAAAAATATTTTCAAATCCTAGGCTTCCATTCTTTGAAACCCACCATCTGAGCTTTGTGAAAATCCTGAAGCAACAGAAAGCCAAACAAATGGGTCCTAGATCAAATCAAGTCAGTACATTCCCTGGAAGCAAAAATGACAAAACTGAAGCTGTTGCACTTCACATGAGAAAGGAAGACTCACTGGAGAAGACAACCATTCTAGGGAAAATCGAAGGCAGAAAAGACCAACTATGAGATGGATTGATTCCATATAGGAAACTGCAGCCTTAAATGCTGTCAAGGAGGGAATTAATTCATAGGGTTGCGATAAGTCGGAAATGAGTTGATGACACATTAAAACAACAAAGCCTGCAAAGAACTGGGTAAATGCAGATTCTAGATACCAGTACCACACTGAATAATTCCAATTTAAATATATTTCTCTAAGGCTGCACAGCCAAAGAGCCACTAAAAAGAGAAGAAACATCTGCTAGAACTTCATCAAGAAATCTCCATAAGACAGAAACATAAAGATGAAACCAACAATGTTAAATTCAGTTATAATATGACATTTGTGATTATTTATAATTAAATAAGATGGAGCTCAAGAAATATTTGCAATTACTGCTGCCAGTAAAAGAACAGATAAATAATTAGCAGGAGTTGCCATTTCATATACATCTTATTGTAATCTTTACAACAATCCTGTAAGGTAAATCATGATTTATTTCCCCACATTACAGATGAGGGAAAGTGGGATAATGAGCCAGAATGACTTGTCTGGAGATCACTTCAAAGATCATAGCCAAGGCATTAAGCCTCTCAGCCAAAAGTTACATGTAAAACAACCCAATGTTACAATATGTATGACTTTTCTACTTCCTTAAGGCTTTATTTCTACCAGCTACTCCAGAGATTCCCCTCTCCTTCCACAGTAGCAGAGCGTCCTGTCAGACCTGCACCACACCAGCAGCAGGAGATTAAGTTTCCATAAGCACTGCAAAGACCTGAGAACATGGAGAAGTTGCTATGAAAGCCAGATGTTTTTGAATTCAACTCCCATTAGCCCCAGCAAGAATCACCACTGGACAGGAACCTCTGCAATCTTTGAAGCACACCAGGTTAGAGAAAGCTACTGTACCTCACAGCTTGATTAGAGACTCTCAAAAGATGCTCTACAAATCTGGATTCATACCTCCACCCTCCAACTGGTCACTTTTGTTCATAAACTCATCTGCTGGTTGCAGAAGTACTGAAATATCTGAAGCCATAGCTCTTTTGATCTTGGAGCCTGCTGTGTGGGTTTCTATGCTGCTTAAAAACAACTTATAAGCAACACATAGCTACATCCAACATGGAGAGAGACAGGCAATCTAGTGTAAGTTTTACTGTGTGATCCTCTATACCTGTCTACTCAAAAGTAAGTCCCACTGAGCTTAATAGGACTTACTTCTAGATAAGCAGATCGCAGATAGCAACCTTAAAATCACTTTTCAAAGCTACCATTTTCTACTGAATGGACCAGATTTAATGCTAAGCCAACCAGTTTGCCATATGCAGCTCACAGAAAATGACTTAATGCTTGACAGAAAGAACCTCCTACCTCTTCTGAATTCTCTGTGCCACCATCCTTCCCGCTGCCACCACTGCCGCCACCACTGCCGCTGCTGCTACTGGCTTTTGTAGTGCTTTTAGCAGATTTTGGAGGCTCCTAGAGAAAAGCAGAAATAAACAAAAATGAAACACACAGGACAGCCAGAAACACATTCCACTAAACCTTAGTGGAACAAGACATCTGAATATGCTTTTGCTGTTTAGTGACTAAAGGCGTCATGGAACTGAACTGCCAGTGACCAAAAGGAGACAATATGCCATAAACAAAATGTCTCTACCATGTTCCACAAGTTGGTGCCCAAGATATACGCTCTTCCCAGCACCCGAGAAAGAACTGTGTGCAGCAGCCAGTCAATAATCATCATCTAAGCAGTCCTCCTAGAAAGAATTAAGTCTCCTCCTTTAGGAAAGAGCAGCTGACTCTATAAGCCCCTCCCCTCACACCCCGTGGGTGGTGAAAGCTGCCCATTTGACCACAGCGGAGAACAATCGGCTGAAGAGCTGTTGGGAGGCTGAAGAGCTGTTGGGAATCTCCGTTCCTGCTCTCACTCCCTACAAGAAAAAGGGTTTATCTGCCCAAACAAGTAAGCGCCGATCAGCTGTTATTTAAGAAAGCCCTTTGCAGTGCTGCTCAAGAGCAATGCCTGAGTAGCAAATAGAACACACAGCTACATGTTGCACATGGCTAGTATAGCTGGCCATAGGAAGACAAGAGGTGGCAGAAATTGGGAAGACGCTTAGCCACGATGCAGAGGGCGCAGTGGAAAAGTTAAAGAGCTTTTCTAGGCACTCCTGGGGACAAGGGGGTGGGCAGAGAAGTTTCTAATCTTCTCTCCATGCAAACTAATATTTATAGCTCAATCCACTACATGAATCTGTGTTGGTTGTGTGTATTCTTTCATCATTAACAAAGAACCAACTGTTGTAAGGCTCTCATCCTGGCCACCTAATTCTTATCAACCACAGGTGATTGGACAAGATGCTATTTAGGGTGCAATCCAATGCATGTTTAGACAAAAAAGTCCTACAACTCCTAACATGCCTAGCATTGGGACCTTAGAAACTAAGGGAATGGGAAGAGAGAAATGTGGAAAAGGAAAAGGGGGTGAAGAACAACAGTAACACCAGAGCAGGCAGATAGACACACATGACAAAAAGCCATTCTCAGAGTCAGAGGACTTTTTATGCCTAAAAAATAGCATGAATAGCATGACTCCCTCAGAAACTTATTTAGGAGAACAGGAGAAGAAAAGGGATGGAGAAGGGGGGAAATATAAGTCGGACAGATGTACATGCTTGCTATACTGGTAGTGCAAGCCTATGCATGTTGACTTAGGAGGAAGCTGCATGGAATTCAGTGGAATTTACTCCCCCATAAGTGGGCAGATTGAGACCTAAATGAACTGCTTCATTGCCAAGGAGACTAAATCATGACAAGCTATATTTCTGTATTTTCTAGAATTATGTTGTGTAGATTTGGCCAATGTAATGATATATGTTCTGGGAACATGTGGCAAATAGCACTGTTTAGTAGAGGCTCCAGATCTGCAGTCCGTGACACTTGTTTTCTACCATGGTATGTGTCCATGGCTGATACCTTATCAGAGAGGGGGCAGGGCTTGATGAGAGGCCTTTGTGGGCAGGATGGAAAGAACTGGTGAACCAGGTATTCCCTGTTCCTGCTGTAAAGCAGAAAGTCACGTGCACAAGACCGCACCAACTGCTGCTCAAAGAGGATGTGCCATAATACCCATGTCACCCAGATCACCCCGGTACACAGGAGGGAAAGTGGGAAGCTGCCTTACAGCAAGTCAGCTCATCCTCCCTGGGCACTGCCTAGTCTGAATGGCAGTGGTTCTTTGGGCTTTTAGGCATGGACATTTCCCAGCTGTCCCTAGAGTTGTTGAGAATTGACTCTGGGAGCTTCTGCATGAAAAACATATGCTCTGCACTCATAAGGTTTAAATGCAGCAACTGGATTCAGACAATGCTATTACTCACACTTCCAGGGGTTGTTGTTTAAATGTGGGTTGTTATGTTGTCTGAACCCAACCATCTAACAACCCATGGCTCAACAACAAACCATACATTCTCTTCATGGGTTGTTTGTGGGTTGTTAGTATGGCTGAGATCAGACAGCAGCAACACTCTGCAACGTCCACTGCATACACACAAGCTACAATACAAATACTTCTACTATCCATTCTGGCCTTGCTTTTCTATTCAGATGAAGACACTATCAGAGAACATGCTGGATAGATCTAGGGAGGTTGTGCGGACTTTTACACTGTAAATATTCATGAGACAGCTGGACAGCCATATGTCAGGAACCTGGAGTCCTGCACTGAGCAAAGGGATGGACTTATAGGCTTCTTCCAACTCTAGTATTCAAATTTCTATGCACAGGGCTTGAATCTGTCTTGTCCCCAGTCAGGGGATGATACTTTTTGCTAAGCAGCGTCTTTGCAAGGGGGCACACAATTCTGCCTAAATTTGCTGTATGCCGTTGGAATACCATGCACCACTATGCATGGCAGCTACAAACCCAGTGTCTGTCTCACAACTTTAACCCTAAGTGTCTCACTGGATAACAGGAGAGCAATCCGTCCTAGTCAGATCTATGTGATGATCTCTGTACGCATACACAAGCCCTGTACTCACACAGAGAGAGCAGTGTACACGCCTACATACACCACCCGCCGAATCCAAAGCACACAAAGAGGAGCATTCTCTGTACCTGTGTGCCCAGCACCTTCTGTGTTGCCCTGCTGAGATCCATCTATTTCTCCCAACCTTCCGCCATTAACCTCTATTCGTACCACCAGGGCAGACTGGATCTTTTCTCCTTCGGCAAGTCAGCCTCCTTCCCCCGCCCGCAGGGACTGCCTCCACCTTGGTCCCTATTCTTCCTCTTCGCCCGTGTACACGGCTGCTACACGACTCGGCCTTGGGCTGCGACCGCCCAAGAACCCATTTCCCCCCTCCTTCGTGCAGGTACACGCAAGGTCCTTTTATTTGTGAGAAACCAGGCCACTTGCGCACACGCATGGCCTCTCCCCGGTGCAACGATCCCGTAGGAGTGCAGACGTTTTCCGCCCGTGCGTCTATCCCCCGGCCCGCGCCAGAGGTTATAGGATGTGCATTGTCCGTGCAGTGCGTCCCCTGTGTGTGCAGCACACCCAGCTCTGCCTCCATGCAGGTTTGTGTGTGTGTCCTGATTGCTTGGCCCGCTTCCTGAATATGTGTGTGAGTGTGCATGTCTATTGCACAGACCCAGATCCTGCGTCGACCAAAAGGGCAATTGCAATTAACTGTTCCCCTTGCTGCAGCAGCCCCTGCACCCGGCCTGCGGCTCCAGGGACGTCCCTTTCTCGGCTGAGGCCCCGAGCTCAGTCTCCGCCAGGCCCGGGCAGGATTTTGCACCGGGGCGGGTATGTGTGTGTCCTTGTTTTTATTTTTTTCAGGGATAGTTCTCGCTGCATGCCCGCTCCTTCCCCTCACCTTCTCTTTCTTCAGCTTGTAGGGCATCCCGGATCTTAAAGTGCTCCCTCGCTGACCTGCTCGGCCTCTCCCGCCGGCCCGGCCTCCTCGCTCGGTTCTCCTCGGTTCTCCTCGCCGCCGCGCCGCCGCCGCCTCCCTCTGCACTGGGTTGGCTGATACCTCCATTGGGCCTGCCTTTCCAAACCTGCCTGGTAACTGGCTCTTTGCTCTCGTTTCACTGGCCGGCGTGAGCCGCGCTGATTTTTCCCATTGGCGGCGGCCTCGGCGGTTTGTTGAAGGACAGCAGGGAGGCGGGAGGCGAGCAGAGCGAGAGACTGAAAGCCCGGTTGCAAAGCACCACAATTGTAGGCGGGGAGGAGAAGGCGCTGTTGTGGGGCTGCCGGAATATGCATATAGGTCACTACGGCTGCTTTCAGAAAGCTTGAACGGGTAGTTGTGAGAGATGGGGGAGCCCACCCCAGGCGGACAGTGCAACACGCAGAGATTTATCTGTGTCATTGTCAAGGAGAACCATCCATATTATAGAGGTAACCCCACGGAGAAATTTGTCACGAAGCTACTCCAAAGAGTGGCAACTGCATTGCAGTTATCATTCTTTGCAATCATCACTATTTGAAACAACCCCCCAAAAAGTGACGACCGCTAATCGATTTTAGTTCTCAACTCTTCTTTAGCCTGCATAGATATTTATGTTATTTATGCAATGGCCAAAATTTAAAAAAAAAAAACTATTTCAATCCTGCAATGGAGAACTGGTAAAACAGGTTTTGCAGGACAAGCATGCTATGAGGAAAAACAGGCCTGATGTAGGACTGAGAAATTATTAATAATCAAAGCAACAAATATAAAATATAGTGTGATAATGAGTCAGAATGAAGCAGATTTAAATCCTTTGGATTCAAATGGAGTTAAGGCACATGCTTAACACTCTTTCTGAAATGGAGGGGCTTAAACAAGCTTTGCTTTGGCTGGTTTAGGCCCAATATTGTTAAAAAAGAAGTTGAAAATACCTTCAAGAAGGCTGAATTCTTAAATATGCTTGCTCGGAAGTGAACTATGTTCTTTGACCTGAACTTGTTGGAGGAAGGGTGGAATATAAAATGGCACAGATATGCTTAGATTCATGCTGCTGTAGAAATACTCTTGTGCTTCTAGATATGGAAAAGTGTATGAAGACATAGTTGTGAAGCTGAGCAATGTATACAGCAGTGTGATTAACAAGATTATGGTGCATGACACATTCTTGCTGCAGCCGTTATCTGTAAAGAGAAAAGGGTCACAGTAGATTTTATTTATATATATATAAAAAATATATATATATAAAATATATATATATATATATATATAAAATATAAATATATATATAAAATATAAATATATATATATAAAATATATATATATAAAAATATATATATAAAATATATATATATATAAATATATATATATAAAAAATATATATATTTTTATATATATATTTTATATATATATAAAAAAAAAAAAGAGTCAATAGAAGTGTTCCCACTTTCCTGTCAAAATGTACCTATGCGTATTTCATTTGCAGCATGAATCATATTCAAAAGCCCTACTGAATTCAGTGAGACGACTTCCAGCAAAATGTTCATAGGAGTGCAGCCTTAATGGATACCAAGCCTAGGATAAACAGGTAAAAAGGAGATACTTCACCTTGTGCATGATGAAATTCTAGAATGAATTGTCAGAGAGCGAGCACTTCCATAGATGGCTTTTGGCTGCACAATTAGCTGCATGACTACTCAGATGTAAGTCCCCAGAGTTCAGTGGGACTTCCTTACAAGAAAGTATGAATAGAACCTTTTTGGGTTAGGCAAATCTAGCAGGACAGGTCTGGATAGTCCTACTTGACCTGAAAGCTGTGTCAAAGATCTATGTTCACAGTATTCCTCAGATGCTGTAGTAGATAAAGCAAATGGGGTATTTAACTCCATCATGCCCAGCCTCTGAATTTCACAGGAATGTCTTGACAGCTTCTGAGCACCACTCATGAACATACTTAAAAAGGAAGAAAGCCCTATTGCACCAACTGGAGTCAACTTTGGAGCTGGGATGTTCAGGCCTGGATGTAAAACAATTATTTAGTTATTAACTTCTCAAACTGGAGTGGTGTAGCAAGGAGAGAGGTGTTCTCGTGCTTCCTAACCAGTTCACCATAGCTACAACAGATCTACTCAGGGAATTATTATTATTATTATTATTATTATTATTATTATTATTTCTATACCTCCCCACAGTCAAAGCTTTCTGGGAGGATTTGTGTTGCAGTGTCATTTCAGTTGGGGAGGAGAGTTAGATATGCCATTGGAAGCAGACTATTATCAGATGTGCTATTCTCTTTTGATTTGTCAGTTCCCCCCTCTGGTGTTAGTGGCATCTCTGCTATAGCCTTTTCTGCCAACCTAAAATAATTGTGCTTGGGAAGCAAAGCTGACAAATGCCACTTCTTGCCAAGTCTCAGTGTGACATACTGAGCAATAATAGATGTGGCCATGAGATAAATGTGCACAAGAACTGATGTAAATAGTTCAACAGACCATGGAGTATCAGTGCCTCTGGCTGCAGTCCACCAATTTTGCAAGTAAACAGCCTCAGTTCCTTGGAGAGCTGCTCAGCTTCATTCTCAGTATTCTAATAACTATTTTTACATGACATTTTCTATTAGCCATTTTTCCTCCTGTGAAGAACCCAAGGCAGCTTACATAATCCTTCTCCTCTCCATTTTATCCTCATAACAACCCTGTAAGGTAGGTTCAGTTGAAAGTGATGGGCCTAAAGTCACCCAGTGAGCTTCAGACTGAGTGGGGACTAGAACCCAGATCTCCTGGATCCCCAGTCCAGCATTCTAACCACTGTGCCACACTGGCATGGTAGTAACAGTATCTTTGCTTAATTTGCTGAGGGAAAGAATGCTTGCTTGAAAGCAAAAGAATATTTGCTTTAGGAAGGAAGAAGGGAGTGCCTGAGGATGGGGAACCTTAAAGATGGAAAGTGACAAGTAATCTAATCACATTTGTACTCCCTCCCCTTTCAAAGGGCCTTAGGGCATCACTGCTCATTTTCTTCACAAGTAGCCCTGTGAAGTGGTTTAGGCTGAAAGATGGTGACTGACTTCACATTTTCCCTGTTCAAAGCTAACCACACAACACTGGCTTTGTTATAAGGGTCCATGCTCTTCTCATTCCTAAGTCCTAAGAACCTCAGGGCATGTTTACAAAGTCATTTGCTTATCAGAAGAGAGCATGGAAGGCTTGTAGTGTTTTTCAGGCAATTGTGTGGCATGATTTTTACACACTGCATCAGTTCACAGAATAAGAAGCAAGAGCACTTCTAAGGACTGTACTTTCTCACTTGCCAAAGTGCACACACTGGATTGGATTCAAACTTAAGAGTACAGCGCTAGGCATGTTCAGACAGAAAAATGTACTAGAACTTCCAATATTTGCTGGCTAGGAATACTAGGGAATTGTAGGGCCTTTTTTCTATCCAAGCAGGCAGACATAGGGTTTCACTCTTATTCACACAGAAGAGTGGGCCTACTGAAACCAAAAAGCCTCAAGTTACTCCTGACTAACTTGTGTCCCACTGATTTCAATGGATCTTCTCTGAATCTGACTACGTCTGGGTCATAACACAAGATCCATGCTGAATCAGACTAAAGGTCCATCTGTACACATGGTGGCAAACCAGTTACCCACAGGATTGCTGCAAGACATCACCTGTCCAATCTCCCCAGCAACTGGTGTGTGCAGGCATATCGCCATAGCCAGCAAGGCTAGTAGCCACTGATAGCCTCTTATTCCATGAATCTGTCCAATTCCATTTTAAAGCTATCATCACTTCCTATGACAACAAATTCCATAGTGTAACTATACATTGTGTGAAGAAGTATGTCTTTTAACCTGTCCTAAACCTCCCAGTCAGCTTCAAGGGATGACCCTGGGTTTGAGTGTTATAGAAAAGAGGGAAACATGCCTCCACTTTCTCTACATCATGCAATATTTTTAAACATTTCTGTTGTATCTCCCCTTACTTACCTTTGTTCTAAGCTGAAAAGTCCCAGTTGTTGTAGCCACTCCTCACAGGGGGGCTACTCCAGTCCCCTGATCATTTTTGTTGCCCTTATCTGTACTTTTTCCCACTCAATAATGTCCGTATTTAGGTCGAGTGATCAGAACGGAACACAATATTCCAAGTATGTTCACACCAACAATTTGTACAAGGGAAGTAAGATTTTGGCAGTTCTATTTTCTATTCCATTCCTAATGATGCCTAGCATGGAAATTGTCTTCTTCACAGCAGCTGTGCCCTGGGCTGAGATTTTCATCAAGCTGTCCAGCACTACCCAAGGATCCCTCATTTGCTCAGTCACTGCTAGTTCAGATCCCATTAGCATATACTTTGAATTTGGATTTTTTTTTCTTAACATGCATTACTCTACACTTGCTTATATCCTTAATTTTTTGTTTTCTTAAATAGAATACAAAAAAGAAAAAATGAAAAATAAGAATTCCAATATTGTGTATATATTACACAAATATAACATAATTTCATAACCTAGCACATTTTCAAGAAAAGCAAATTTATCTTTCTGTCAATCAATACTTTGTTGAAGCTCGTAAAAAGAAATTATAGTTTACTAAACCAATAAATTTTCCAATTGCTTCAAGTCAGTTATAAATTATTGCATAAGATTTGCATTTAAGTATAAATCATCAACAATATTTTATGAGCTCCATTTTTCTGTATTAAACTGCATATAATAAAATTTCCATTTCTCATTAAATTCTTCAATCGGTCTTCTAATACATAATTAGTTAGTTTTGGCATCAGTGCATACTCAGCCATCTTATTTTTCCAGTCTTCAATTGTTGGACATTCTGCTGTTTTCCATTTGGAAGCAATTGTAATTTTTGCTGCAGTTGTCATGCATTTAAATAACTCTGACATATTCTTTGAAAACGTCTTTGGCAGAATATTCAAAAGCATATTCTTAGCACTCATAGGAAAGTTAATTTTAAAGGTTCTTTGTATTTCCAGAAGTATCAGCTTTCAGAATCTTTTAATTTTATCACAAGTCTACTACATATGGCAGAAAACCCTATCTGCTTTTTTGCATTCCCAAGATTTTCCATTATATACACTTGCTTATATTGAACTGCATTTGCCATGTTGATGCCCATTCTCCCAGCTTGGAGGGATCCCTTTGGAGCTCCTCAGTCCCTTTTGGTTTTAACCATCCTAAAAAGTTTAGTGCTCGCTTGCCCTGCTTCTCTCTCTCTCCCTCTCTCTCAGATTACCTATTTCTTTCTTGCTTCCTGTCCTGCTGCCAGGGAAAGACAAATCACTTTTCCTGGAGCTTCAAACCAATCTCTTGCAAAGACTTTGGAAAATAGGCCAAGGTTAACAGGCTGCCCACCTCTGCTGTAGGCTATGCAAGAACCTAAGAGAGTTACTTGGAACAAAAGAATTATGTGGCTGATAACAATCTCAGGTGGTTCTGATTCTACAAAAGGCTCACTGCTGGTCTTTGTCATTCACACCACCATTTTACTACAAGCCAGATCTGATTCAGCCATTAGAAGTTTGTCTGTTTTGGTCCCAAGCCACTTCTGCCTGAAAGATATTTGGAGATAGGAGTGTGGGGAGTGTGGCATTTAATTCATTAGCAGAATGATGCCATTTTTAAAATAATTTTTTTACATTTTTAAAATAAAATGTAATTTAGAAAGATGCTGAGGAGATGCCTCTTGCTTTAAATATCAGTCTAGCCCTATAACCATGTCAGTTGGGGACAAGATAAGCAACTATCTGATCAGGAAATGACTTGCCAAACTTGTTCAGTGAAGACACTGAGTTTTCATGTTTTGTCTGCCCCAAATAACTTTCCCCTTGTTTCCTTTGTCTTAATTCAAGAAGAATTTCAATGGTGACTTTACTCATACAACTCTCTATAAAACATTATAAAAGCATCCCCATCATGCTGGATTCTTTGTAGCCTCTTGCAAACTACCTACATGCTTTTACTCTGGATGTAACTGTAACTTCTTTTGATTGTTCACTCCTCATTCCTCCTTTTTCCAAGTCTTGACGTTAGTCTTCCTAATATTAATTTTCTCCCACTGATTCAAACACTCCTTGCCTCGAAGGGACTTGTTTCAAATCGGTTGTATTGCCTATGCAACAAAAACACAGCAGTCATAAAAAGTAAGATTGCAAGCACATCCGTGCCTCTTCGGAGGTACGTCCTGTTTTTTCCACATAAACACGCACACTTATTTGGGAGTAAGCCCCACTGAACTCAAGCAGGCTTCCTTCTGAGTAAACACGCGTAGGATTGCGGTCTCAAAGGCGCCTCTTGCGCCATAGAGATCGCAGCCCTGCGTCCCGTGGCTAGAAGAGTAAAACCTATCGAATTAATTAAGGCTTATCCGCGATAATATCACGATGCACTGGAGTGAATTGGGAGGTGCCCTCCTCTGTCGGAGTCTCCCATTTAATTCCTTCTGTCCGTTCGCCCAGCCCTGCACCGACTTCAGTCGCACCTCTCCCGAGAGGTCGGGGGGATCAGTCACAACCGCGTCCCCGCGGAACCGAAAGGCGGTAGCCTCCGCCGGCGAGGTGCCCGCTCTATCCTTGTGCCACGTCCTCCTTCGGTGGTTGTGCCTTTGTCCAACTCATACGTTTCCATAGACATACAAAAAGGGGTAGACGGATAATTAATCGCGAAGCGGAGTTTCTGGGTTACTTCTGACCCCAGATTTCCCACCCTTCTCCTTTTCCTCTATTAGACTGGGGGGGGGGGGTGATTGACGCATATTCGTTGATTCAATCTAGCGGCACATTTGATTGCAGCTAACTTTTGACTGAGTGTTTGCTCTCTTGCTATTTTTATTACATTACATTTATACCTCACCTTTATTCCTCTTGCAAGGAACCCAGGGCAGCTTGCAAGATTCTCCTCCTCTTTTCATCCTCAGAACAGCAACTCTGTGAGGTGGTTAGGCTGAGAGTTTGTGATGACCCAAAGCCACCCACTGATTTTCAGTGGGGCCTAAAACCTGGCTGTCCTGATCCAAGCCAGTGCTCTAAACCAATACACTGCACATAAATACACTGCCTGCACCGAAGAAACGGCAGAAGCAGGGGTGCTGCTAGAAGCCAAAAAGATTTGGCATTCAGGCCCATAGGACCAAAAATAAATGTAAATATGGAATTTACATGTGCACTGAAGTGTGTGATGTGTTTAAAGCAGCTCGTTTCTTTAGAATAGTCCCCTTTGTAAGAACGGACATGTGGACAGAGAGGAGGAAGGCATTTGATTATGGAGGGAATGGCGGAGAAAGAATAGGAATCAGGGAGTTAAGTATGGGGGGGTGCGGGGGGGGGAGTGCATCTATCCAGAGGGATCAAATGCAGCAGAGATAGTTAGAATTCCTGTACCTTGATTTCAGCAAGTGCCATGAACTGTGGACTGCCCCCACAGAAATTCAGGGGATCTGAAAGAAAGATAGGCTGCTCCCTAACACCATCTATGAACCGGAGTTTGTGGTGGTCTTTCAAACTCAGGCTTTTTTTTTAGGAAAATTATTTTGTTTCCTGTCCAAGAAAGGCAGAAGCACCATCCTTTTTATTCTTTTGTCCATATTGCCGATGTTTGTAGGGCATGGCAGATTGAGTCCAGAGTCCATCCCTATCAAGACGCCTAATTTGCCAAGGCTAACATGCTTTCAACTCGCTAGAGGAGTGGCTGGAGCAGCTGCCACCACTTGGGGCCACACTTCCAGTCTCCACCCTGCCATCTTTCAGATACACAAAGCTGGCTGGTAATAAAGAGATTGGCCACTTCCTTGCCCAGTCTTGCCTTTCTAAAATAAATTCTGGCTGCTGATCGCCCTTTGCTTTGGTCCTGTCCTACATACTTGATGCCTGATGGTGGGGTTCCTGCTTTCAATCAAGATCCCCCCATTCAGACATCATGCCCTGTGCTGCAGAGACCCTGCACTAAGTATGTTCTGAATCTGAGGGCTTAGGAATACAGAGAGACCAATATTTAGGCCACGCTTTGGAGTCAGTTTTGCACGGGCTCATTGCTTTTTGTCACCAGTTTGTCTTTATTCTTAATAAGATTTACTAAATTGGACTAGTGGTCTGGGTTTGGATTCTCTTTACACCTTCAATGATCAGTTTGCTCCCTCAGTTCTTCCTGAACTTTTTGGATGTTGTGCTTCCAAGTAACTAAAGCAGGGAAAGGAAAGCAGAGTAATTGCCTGGCCAGCATAAACTAGGAGCTTAGACAGCAAACCTATTTGGCTCAGCTTGGGTTAACTAGGCAGAATTGGAATGGACTAAATAGAAGCTAGAACTGAATGGTCCAGAACAACCCCTTCATTTTATTATTCATAATTATTATTATTCTATGACAAAAACAATATGTGTTTGAAACATTGGGGACAATATTTTAGGATGGAAAGCCTTGCAATATTAGCTCCAAAATTAACTCCCAAATAAGAATCCATATGGAACAGAACAGCATAACCCAGAATACCAGTGTCCAAAGCAAGGCATGCCAACCAAATTCACTAGTCACATGTGATGAGATGACAGTGAAGCCATCATCCACAAAACCCACATTTGATACCTGCACTTGCCCATGGTCTGGAAAAGAGCCCAGAATGGCACATTTGGAGTTAAACTAGCTAAATTCCTAAGTCACACATGGCTAGATGAGAGTGATATAAGTCATACAACCTCCGCAGAAACCACAAAGTTCCAAGTAAGCCAGGCCAACCAAATTCACCAGCTACACATACATACATGGCAGTGATGCTAACATCCACAGAACTACTACAAAAACCATGCTCGGATATACCTACCAAGCAGCAGTCCATGGAACTTCATCTGTCACACATAACTGGGTGCTTGGAGGTTAAATAGCAAGCAAGCAAAATTTGTGATATTGCAAATAATCACTTATCATGGGGCACATCAGTTAAATTAGCCTTAGCTGCCAGTTTCCTGCCTTTGCAGTCATGTTTACTCTGGTCTGAAACCAGATTGTTTGATCATTGGATATAATTTTTGGTAGTTTAACAACAGATAAATTAAATGTCATGATGTCAAATGTTATTTGGTAAGACTAAGTGTTAAAAGCACACTTATGCAATTGTTTTTTCTGCTATGTTATTGTAGTGGAGATTAAACATAGCTTAACTTTTTCTCATAATGAGTCATGCTGAGGATTGCTTAATGTTTTATGGCATCACTTTCATGTAATCATGTGAATTGGTGAATTTGATTTGATTCAGTTGAAAGTTTCTGTTCTGGGCTACTTTCTGAAATATGAACTATTCCCTGGAACAGATACTAGAACATGGTTTCTATAGCTGTTTTCTGGCTTATCACACACTTCCCATGCAATTATATGATGTTATGTGCCATCATCACTGACTTATGGTGACCTTATGAATGAAAGCTCTCCAAAATGTCCTATCCAAGATAGCCTTGCTCAAGCTCTTGTAAAATTAAGGCTGTGGCTTCCTTTAAGGAGTTGATCCATCTCATATTTGGTTTTCCTCTTCTTCTGCCTTCAACTTTTCCTTACGTGAGTGCTTTCTCCAGTAAGTTGCAGCTAGCACATTTTATTGGTTTGGCTCACTTGGAAGTTGTGGCTCCAGGCCATTTTCCAGAATAGGAACTGTTGAAGTGGCATGAGTCTGGAAAAGACTGCCCTACAACAAACCTATGGTGTCATCTGGAGCAACTTATTATTTATAAAAAGCTTAACATGTACTAAGTACTGTACACAGATTAAAAGCAAGATCACCCTGCCTTTGGGTTTACAGTCTAAAAGACATGACATAAAAGGGAAAAAGAATGAGATGGGGTAAACAAGCACATTCAGTTACACGATTGTTTGTATAATTATATCCTAAGAAGAGTTCGGAGAGAAATCAGTCTAGCCAGTAGAATAGGCCTGCTGAACCGACTTCTCTGCTGCTGTAATCAGATGGAAAGGTAACTCAAAGCGGCAACTGAGGGCAGGGCCCTTTTCTATTGTAACCCTACAATATAGTGCATAGCGAAGCTTCCCTGGGACGCTTACCAAGTGCGAAATGCATAGCTTTCACTACAACTTCGGAAGTGATGTATTGCTCCATTTTTCTATCTCTGTGGCAGAAGGGGCCGCTCTGCGCGTCTTCTCTGTGGTTAGCACGATCCCGTCGCTCCTGGTTCGGAGGCTCAGAGCATTCAAGTTGCTGCCCTTGTAGACTTGTAAAGTTGAGGTCGCACAAGTTTCCCAACTCTGAGATCTTTTTGAAGGTCTTATTTCATCTCCCCCAGGCGGAAGTGAGAATTGCCCGTAGAAAACAATGGAAACAGCGTTGATGGTCTTAGGCTATAACATGGCCAGGAATAAGAGCAGCGGCCGTGAGCTTATATTATCGAATGCAGGTCTTATTTTGAACAGGCAGGAGGCTTAGGTCAGCTTGAATAACTTAGACCATTCCCACCCATAAAACTCCTTGCAGGTTATAGCAAAGGCCAGGCTCCCTAAATTGACCCCTTAGGACCAGTTGCACGTGGAAACCTTGGGCTCGATCCATTTACAGACTAGTCGCACTCGTAAACTGCTCCCTCCTCCAACGCACATTTACCCGCCGAGGAAGACCTAAGGAAAGGGACATTCCTCTCGACTACCATAAGCCTTTTGCTAATAGTAACATGCCGCTGGCTAATCACAACTGCACCAAATTCTTGTTTTTCCCACTGTTCTCCGCAGACAGGAGAGCTCTCACTTCTGCGAGAAGGGCGGGGGGGGGGGCAGAGAAAGTTCAAACTCAAACCCGAATCTAGATCCTGCGGGTCGTGTTCAGTGCTAATGCTAACTAGAGCTGACCTTTTTAAATGAATGGCTCCGATTCATTTCCGCAGGTCTACTCTCCCTACGACTAACATAGGATACTGTTTTAATCAAGTCTATGGTGACGAGCGTGATTTCGCAAGTGCCCCGAGTGTCGTTGCTCTAAACCTTCACATCTCTAAGTTGCATTCACCAACTTTGGATTGGGCGACAGAGCGGAAACCTGATTTACCATCAGGCAACCCGGAAGCGTGGAGCGGTTTGTGAGCCTTTCTCTATGGCTCCCGCCGAGCGAGAGGCTTCTTTGCCGTTAGCATTTTTCGGCTCTCTATGGCGGTGGCGGTACTGCGGGGTCTGGACGACTCCGTCCCTCGGGACCTGCCGCCGGCCGCGGGGCTGCTGGTGGCCCCGGCGGGAACGCAGTGGGCGGCGGCGGGGCCGTCTGGAGCGCTAGTGTTGGCCGTGCGGCCGGCAGGGGCCGAGGCGCAGCCGGTGCTCTTGTGCGCGGCGCTGCTGGAGGACGAGGCCGCCTCGGGGCCGGAGCTGTGGCTGAGCCGGGCCTTCCTGAAGCAGCTGGGCCTGGAAGCCGGGGCGCGGGTGCGGGTCTGGCCCGTGCGGAAGCCGCCGTTGCTAGGCTGGGTGTTGCTGGGGGGAGCCGCGGCGGCCGGAGCAACAGGGCGGCCTCCGCGACTGGGAACAGCCCCCGGCTCCAGCCTGCTTGTGCGGCGCGGCGAGACCCTGCCGGGCTCGGGGCTGCTGGTATTGGAGGCCCGGCCGGCCTTGCAGGGGCTCTTGGGCGCTGGCACTCGCTTGGCGGTGACTGAACTGCGAAGCGGCGGAGACGGCCGCGGTCGGAGGGACTCGCCACTGCTCCCCGCTCCCCTGGTCTCCGGGTGGGCGCACGGTGGGGAGCGGCTAGTGAAAGCGGAGCGGGGCCGCCCGGCACTATGGGGAAGCAAGACCGGCGAAAGCGAGTCTTTGTGGGTGACCCGCTGCGGCCTGCGCAGCCTGGGTCTCTTCCAAGGAGAGTGGGTGTCGGTGACGAGGCAAGAGAGAGGCTCCCTGGGAAACGGGGCCCAGCACCTGGCGGTTGTGCGGGTCCTCAGCCCCCAGTGGCATTTTCCTCTCCAAGACGTCGAGGACAGGCACCGCCGAGCCTTTCTGAATGAGAGAGCTCTGATCCCTGCCACCTTAGCCTTCAACCTGTCCTGTGACCCTTTGGAAGGGAGCCTTCTTAAAATTCAGGTAAGTGATGACCAGTGTTGAGTTACGCTGGAAGAAATCCATCCACTACTGCAGTTCTTTTGTATTCTATTGTGCTACAGCAATTCACATTTGGAGAACATGAATCAACCTTACAGCAAGTCAGGTCATTAGTAACTTATCTAGGCCAATCTACCTTAGCTTTTCCCTGACTGATCCTCTCCAGGCCTGCTGGCCTGTGCCTGTTAGACCATGACAGCAAGGAGCATTGGCCAGGCTTGACTGGGTGGGCAGAAGATAGAATGGTTCACTTTCAGTTCTGGATTGGATGTGTCCAAATCTTTGTAATGGGCATTGGGGAACATGTGATGTTCAATGTGGGGACAGTCATATAGAGGCTTTGAGTGAAATAGAAAAACAGTCACTGTTCATGCAAGCAATGCAGAACAGTATAGTCTTAATGGTGCCAGTCCTTTATGGCTTCCTCTCTTTCCCATGAAAAGGGAGTTGGGGTGGTGGGCAGAAGTGAATCTAGACATGTAAGTAGAATGCAGAGGAATGTGGAGGTAGCTGAGCTAACATATCATGGGTTGGTTTGGCTGTTGGCTCCCCAAGTTTTCTTTACAAGTATGGCTCAAATCAAAACATTGTATTTTCCTCCTTATGACACTTAGAACTAGCATAAATATGTATGGGCAAGTGGAATAGCTTGCAAACTTACATATGATGCATAAAGCAAGTATTTTCCAGCTTCTTTGAGTGGTATGGTGAAAAATCTCCTGTTTTTTCCCCAATCTGATTACAGGGGAAAGTGATGTACTGAGAAGAATTTTGTTTGATTAATGGTATGTGTTAGAAAATATTGATGGTCCGCCAGTAAGAGGCGGGCTAGCACAAGGTGCCAAACTTTAAGAAGTAAATGTGAATACATTACATAAAAGGATGTTAGTTTGTTAATTCTATGATAATAGGCATGTGACTGCTTAGGTATTTGATATTTTTATAGTCAGGCTTGCAAAAAGCTTTCTCTATCACTTCTCAACCCTGTTATCACTCTCAAACCCTTTATGTCATTGGAGCTAGTGCTCCTGTCCATCATATCTATCTTTTATTCCTTGTGCATTAATGTAGATTGTAATATGTCTTGAAAACTACACCTTTCCCCACCAATTCTACTTTTATAATTAATTGTCAATAGAGATTAGTGTCCCTGTACCACACACAGATGTCCACTGAATATATAGGAAGCACCCGTCATTTCAGTACGGGATGGCTACAGAAAGGTTTTTAAAATAGATAGCTGTTGTCTGCTACCATGAGGTTAGATGGAGCCTTACATCTGCTTTTCCTCCTCTCCATGCCTTCTAAATCTCTGGTGCAAATTTTGGGTTGTGTGAGTGTGGAGGGGAATCCATTCCACCAGCGGTTTCCATTGTGCTGGTGGATGGGTGAGCACTGGACATAACACTTTAGTCAATTGCAGCAGGAGCAGCTGTGTTTTGTGAAATCTTAAAAATTAACAAAAGTAGGAATAAGTGTTTGTGGACTAAACTTCATCAGATGCGTAAAGTATTAACCTATGTTGGCAAGTATGCTCAACATTTTAGGGGTGTAGGAGGATTGCAAGTGGTATAGTCAGAGGGAAATGAAATGTTAAAAACATTGTTACAATTATGTTAAACCTTGAATATATATACTATATATAATCATTGCATAATTAAGTATAAATGAGATTTTAAGAATGTAAGTGACTTTGAGGGTATGCACACAAAGGGGATAACTAGATTTCCCTAAGCTATTATGGAATGAACAAGACTAGAGCCACTTCTAGACAAATCACTGTAGCTACAGAAATTTCTTAATTGTATTCTAGCTTAATCTGCCTGTATAGCAGAATTAGAACAGGACTGTTTGTCCTCCATAGAGATATGGGGAAGCTGCTGGTGTGCAAGAGGTAAAAGGAAGCCGATCCTTGCTATCTGTGCCACCCTTTGCCAAGGAGCTACACATAGAGATTGTGTCCTCACCAGCCTACAACACCAGAGGAGTCTATGACCAAATTCTCTACCAACATTTTCAAACTCCCAGGTTAGCTTTTCAGTAAAGATTACAACTTAACCTGTGCATACCTCCTTATGAGATCAAGGATAATGATCTTCTTAAGCTTTTTATATATGGCTTAAACACACTATAAGCAAGATGTGGCCCATATGCCACATGTGGGAGGCTTGCTTAGGTGTTTCTCCAGATGTTGCTTCTAAATGCCAGGTTGGTGCAGAAGAAAACCTCCCTCCTCCACAATTTAATCATGAAAGAAGCAGCTGATCTGGCATTTATAACTGATACCTGGGTGGGTGAACAGGGAGGAGTTAGTCTCTCCCAGGTGTGCCACCAGGGTACTTGGTTCAGTATCAGGGTAGACATGAGGGTGGGGGAAGGGGGTTGTCATGTTCTATAAGAATTAAATCTGTCTAGGTGCCTAGTCTGTCAGATGACTAGTCTGGGGTGTTTGCACCTTGCATCCGGCCAGCAGGACAGATTGATTCTGCAGGTGTAGCGCTCATCCTGCAACCCATCAGTTTCTCTACCTCAGATGTCATGTTGGAGTCCCCCGACTGCAGGTCCTGGAGGGGTCTTCAGCATTCATGCTGAGTGTATCTAGTTCTAGCCCACCTGCATTGGCTGCTTTGTATGCTTCTGGGCCCAATTCAAGGTGCTGGTTTTAACCTATAAAACTCTAAATGCAATACCTGTCAGAGTACCTCTCCCCACAGTGATTTACCTGGACACCACGATCAATTTCTGGGGCATTTCTCCAAGTGCCTACCCCATAGGAGGCTTGCAGAGTGGCAGCAAGGGGGAGGCTTGTCTGTGGTGGCCCCCCCATCTTTGGAACAACCTCCCTGCTGCAGCCTATCTGGTACCAAATATGCCATCTTTTTAACATCAAGAGCTGAGGCTGTTAAAGACTTCCTTGGTTATCCAGAGTCCTGAGGGGAGTGATTCTTCTTTGCTGGGACTTTTTCTGTATTCTAAGTTATTTTAAATTCATTTTAACGTTGTTTTTTCTATGATATTTGTACTGTATTTTATTGTTTTCTTTTATACATTGTTGTAAACTACCTAGAGAGCTTTGGCTATGGGGTGTTATAGACATGAGGAAATGGTGATGATGATAACTGCTGGACAGCTAAATGATTAATTCTGAAGACGTTTAGAATATCTGTCTTACATAAGTGAAGTAAATCATTGTACCAGATGAGAGAACTTTTACAGACTTGGGCTAAGCCTGTCCTCTGGTACCAAGTACTTTTACGGCCTCTCCTAGTCTTATTTATTTATTTATTTATTTATTTTTCAATTTATATCCTGCTTTTTCCTACAATGGGCTCAAGGCAGCTTACATCATTCTCCTCCTCCATTTATCCCCACAACAACAACCCTGTGAGGTAGGCTGGGCTGAGAGTCTGTGACTGGCCCAAAGTCACCCAGTTGGCTCCATGGCTGAGCGGGGACTAGAACCTAGATCGTCTGAGTCCCAGTCCCATGCTCTTAACCACTACGCCACACCGTCTCTCACTGGCTCTCATATCTTAAGATTCTCTTCCTACTCAGGGGCAAGTTGTGTTAGTCACAAAGCCCTGTTAAAGAGCTATTTTTCTGTTTCCACACTGAAAATAATTTAATTGTGCAAAATAACACAAGTTATATAGATTTTCCCTTCTCCTGCCGTGCCTGTTCCCTCTCACTTGGGTTATGTTAGAACACAGTTTAAAAGGCAATGGCATTTCATTGCTCTATGCATGCCAAATTCCCCTCTTGATGATAGTTTTTCACATACTTTTTCCTGATCTTTGCAGTACAGAAAAAACACACAGGTTCATTTAACCCCTTCTACTCAGCAGAGAAATCCGAAATGACTTATTATACCAGTTCTTTCCATTTCTACAAGAGGAAAGAGAAACACTTGAAATGTTTTGATAGCTGCTCCTTGTCAAGTAACTGTGTCAAGTGTCATGTTTTTCTCTCTTTCTGGGTAAAGGATGTGAGTTTAATTTTTCACCATGGCTATTTTGTTTCAGGCTAGTCCAAACAGAAGATATTTTGAGTATTCCAACAGTCGGGCACCCTGAGTTCTTAGAAGGAAATTCAGAGAAGTTCATTAGGTATGTTGTCAATCTGCTAAAAGCGAAACACACTCTGTGTTTGCCGTCACCATGCCACTCATTATAATCTCTAATTGAAATGCAGTGGTACCTCGGCTCACAAATGCCTCAGTTCACAACCAAATCAGGTCACAAACAGGAATTTCATAAAAATTTTGCCACAGGTTGCAAACTCTGCATCGGGTGATGATCGCGAGTGCGCCCACCTTCCCTGCACGGGCGCAATTGCAGTCGTGCTGGGAGGGGGGAGATGGCCGTGTTCGTGTTGTGGGGGGGGGGAGATGGCCATGATTGTGCCTGTGTCCCCTATTTGAGCGCGCCCGCCTCCCCCCAGCATGCCCGCGATCGTGCCTGTCTCCCCTCACAATCGCGGGGACAGGGAGATGGCCCCGATCTTTGTTGTTCTTTGTCACTTTGCTTCAAATTTTTGTGAGTAAAAAAAAGTAGTTGCAGAATGGATTAACCTTATTTACATCGACCCTTATGGGGAAATTTGACTTGGCTCACGACCAGTTTGGGTCACGACCAGAATCCTGGAATGGATTAAGTTTATGAGCCAAGGTACCACTGTAAGTTGACTTGCTTGGGAGTAAGTGTCTGTGGGGGATCTGTCCTGGAAATCAGAATTCGGTTAACCACTGGCTGAGGACACAAGGCTTGCAGTCCTTGCTCACTAAGACTTTCTGTTGAAGTCCTGAGGCTTGGTGCTTCAGAGTGTTCTCTGGAGCAAGTGGGTCATGCATCACACATGGGAAATGTCAGCAAGTAAAGGCTGATAGCAACTGGGAAGAATCATGGAACTGTCTAAACACAGTTGGCTGCGCTGGTTGGGGCTGTTGGGAATTGTTGACCAAGACCGAAACATGTGGAGGGCCACAAATTTCCATCCCAGACCAAAAGCTTGTGCTCCTACAAAGTGTAGATTTTTTCCATTAAGGTTTGCTTCCTACCCATTACTCCTGTATCCAAGATCTTTGGTGCTTGAATTTTAGCCTTTTTGCTCTTTTCTCAGATGGCCAGAACTCTACTTCAAGGTGAAAAAGATACTTCCTGAAGAGGAGAAAGAGCAATGCATGGGATACCTGGCTGATACTCAGAACACTTCTGTGTTCCTGGTAAGGCATTAAAAGTATTGCATTTTTAATTGCCTTGTAGTCTGGCATCAGAGCCTTTGGATGCAGCAAAATTTATGGCTCTTCTGTGCACTACAGTGCAGTAGGCAAATTGTCCTAATTTCAAGAGCCTTCTAAGCCAAACAGTTCAGTCCTCTGGAAAGAGCAATAGGTTCCTCACCTGGCTCCCCACAGGGTGGGGGTGGAGAAGGAAAAGGGGATGTTGAGGAAGAAATACAAAGGTGGCCCACTGACTTTTAGGTGTGAGCACACCCACCCCTGATCTCAGTCCCTGTTCACCACCAGCATCCTATCCGTAACAATAGGATAGGATTATCTTATTGTTATCCCCCACAGAGTGCAGCCCTTCACAGAAAAACCCATTCAGGACTATGAGATGGTCAGGCACACAAGCAAAACCCTCAGAGGTGTCACTCTAAGCAGTGGGACATCTTTCTCTCCTCAGCCTTATGAGAGCTGCTTTTATTTTCCTTATCAGCAAAGCAGGTACGGTGGGTGAGAATTCTAAAACTGGTAGGGCTGCCAGGGGCTAGAGCCATTTCAAATATCTGACTACTCTAAATGAGATTGATGAATGACCTGAGAAAATGTGCTTATTTGTGGTGATACGAAATTGCCTTATCATTAGGTTGGCTCAACAAACAGTGCGGTCCCATCTTTCCCATCTCAAAACACCCATGGTTTTTGGAGCAGTTTGTCTCCAGCTGGACTTAGCAGTGTAGTGAAGCAGCTCTGTGACATTCTTGGTCCTCATTTACATAGCAGGTAAGTCAGCCCACTTGACTTGAGCTCTGCCGCTCTGTGTAGCTGCTGCCTGTTGCTGACAGATTGTTGCGAATTCTGGGCCTCACATTTCCTATATGGTATTTTTCAGAGTGGTGCATTCCAGCTACTTGAGTGCCCTCTGTAACTCATCAATGCCCTTAGTATATAGAATGGGCAATGAAAGCATTGGGTTTCCTGCGGACTGTTGTTTAACATGTAATGTTGTTGTTAGTTGCGAAGTCGTGTCCGACCCATCCCGACCCCATGGACAAAATTCCTCCAGGCCTTCCTGTCCTCCAGCATCTCCCGGAGTCCACTTAAGCTCACACCAACTGCTTCAGTAACTTCATCTAGCCTCCTCATCCTCTGCCGTCCCCTTCTTTTGCCATCGATTGTTCCCAGCATTAGTCTCTTCTCCAGGGCGTCCTTCCTTCTCATTAGGTGGCCAAAGTATTTGAGTTTCATCTTCAGGATCTGGCCTTCTAAAGAGCAGTCAGGGTTGATCTCCTCTAGGACTGACTGGTTTGATCGCCT